TTGATCGCCCCTCTCCGCCCTGGGTTCGGCCTCCCCGTGCCAGCCAGGGCTCCGAAATGCCGCTGCAGCGGGCGGCTCCGAGCCTGCGGGAGCTGAGCGAGATCTCCGGGCTGGGGCTGAGCCGGAGCCATCCCGAGCCCGGCCTGGGCTGCCCTCGCTGGGCACACAGCCCCGGGCTCGGGCTGCCGCTGGCACCGAGGACACGCTGCCACTCACGAGTCGTTTTGTGCCCATGTGCCAGGGGAGAAGGCGCAGAGCCCCTCCCGATGAGTCCGGGGCCAGGCCGAGCTGGGTCCCGGCCCCAGCCCTCCTCCCAAGGTTTCATTGCCTGCCTGAAGACGGGCAGTAAAGGCTCCTTGGGCTGCTGGGCTTTTCCGGGAGCAGCCTCTGTGTGCTAACACAATAACAAAGTTCAGCTCCCTCATTTAAATGGTTAATTCGTATCTCAGTGTAATCCGCCGATTTTGGGTCGAGCACAGAATTTTCTGTATTTTCTACAGAAGCAGCACCGGGAGGATCGTTCCCTCCCTGTCCCGGTGGAGCACGGCTCCCTGCAGCTGCTCCTGCCCAGCCGGACCCCCACCCCTCACCCCCACGGCCCGGAGGGTGGGTGGGCTCCCCACCCTGTGCCAGGCCCGCTGTGGGGCCGGATGGTGCTTTGCTGCTGCCCTGGTAGCACAGGGAGCTGGGACTGTCCCCTGGTGGCACAGGGAGCTGGGACTGTCCCCTGCTGCCCTGGTGGCACTGGGAGCTGGGATTGTCCCCAGGTGGCACAGGGTGCAGGGATTGTCCCCAGGTGGCACAGGGAGCTGGGATTGTCCCCTGGTAGCACAGGGAGCTGGGGTTGTCCCCTGGTGGCACAGGGAGCTGGGATTGTCCCCAGGTGGCACAGGGTGCAGGGATTGTCCCCTGGTGGCACTGGGAGCTGGGACTGTCCCCTCAAACCATCACTCCCCAACAGCAGCAGGGTCACAGTGCCCACGTGTCCCTCCCCGAAGGGCTGACGGAAGAGAAGGTTTGCCAAGGATGTCGCTGGGCACCTGTTTTGGTACAGAAGCTCCTCAGCACGGGGATTTTAAGGAAAATCCCTCCTTGGCTGTGGAGCTCCGCCTGTGATGAGTTATTTCTGCAGCCTCAGTAATTAAAGCCTGCTCCCTTTTGTTTGGTTTCAATGGGTGATGGATCCCCACAGTCCCAACTGTTTGTGTTTGTTGGAGTTAGCAGAAATTCTGTCAGTAACGCAGCTGTTTTGCGTGGCAGAAAAATTTTGGGAAGCCGCTGTTTTTCAGCAGTGGAATTCCATCCTGCATCCTTTCTGTATTCTTCCCAGGCAGGCAGTTAAGATTTTATGAGAACACACGGAGAAGGGGAGAGCGAGTTCTAAAGCCATGGTTTTATTAAAAGAATAAATTGCTGCGTTGTGCACGGGTAGGAGCTCAGGAACCAGGCTGTGTGCTCGGAACCAGGGGCTCATCTTGTGCCGTGACCCTGTGCACGATCCACGGGGGGATCGCCCTGTGCTGCAGCACATCCCTCTCGCTGACAGCAGAAATGGAATTTCGGGAGAGGTGACAAATGCAGAGCCCTTGGTGGGGAGCCAGCGGGGACAGCCCGTGTCACCTCCCGTGTCACCTCCTGTGCCACCTCCCGTGTCACCTCCCTCCCTGCCCGGGAGCAGGGCTGGATACCCGGGGAAACAGAGGCTGCCTCCAGCTGGGAGAGGCTGCTGCCCTCTTCCCGGGCGGTGGAAGGGGATGCGGGGAGGGCAGGGAGGAGCTCACCTGGGGTCGGCAGCACGGGGCATTGCTGCTGCTGCTGCGGGGAAAGCAAGAACTCCCCTTTTCCCTGCTGCAGCTGCTCCAGCAGCTTCGTGCCTGGGGCTCTCGGGGCTTTACCCCAGCCAGGACCAGCGGTGCCAGCAGAGCTCACCTGCAGCTCGGAGCCCAGATCCCCTCGGAGATCGGAACGTGCAGAGCTGAGGATGATCAAAAGGGGTTTTCTAGCGAGTAAAAGTTTGATTGTGTGTTTTGTTTCCTCAAAGCTCACGTGTAACAAAACCGAGTCTAAGTGAGGGTGCCTTTGTAGTGCCTTTACCTTGCGTCAGTGCAGCAGACTGGGCTGTAGAAGTTGTGGTTTTGAAGAAAGCAGATCTTTTTAGCAGCGTGTGGTTCCCGAGGAGTTTGGGGCAGGTGTGTGGTGCAGTCTGTGCAGCACTGAGGGCTCCTCCTGCACAGTTCAAGCTGGAGCAGGATCACTGGGCTCTCGGCTCACCTGGCTGGGAAGTCCCGGGCTCAGCTCTGGGCCAGCGGGTCAGCGAGATGCAGCCACGTGTGGCTACCACCGTGCTCCCTCTGGCCACCTGGGCCGAGTGCTGGCCGGGGCTGGGGCAGCCAGGCTCACCTGAGGGGTGATTGTAGGAAAATGCCTTTTTTGGTCATAGATCAGGAGCTTTGGGGCTCTTTGGTTTGTTTGCTGAACTGGAAATACTTCATGTGCAGCCTGGCTGCTTTTCTGCCCCTTGGAGAGTTCCAGGTCCGTGTGCTGGGCAGTGGCACTGTCCCCTGCCCTGGACACCTGGGGCTGCCACCAAACACCCGGGCCGAGCTGGATGGGCTGTGCCTGCAGGCCAGCACTGCCCAGGGCTGCTTTTACTGCTCTGCACAGTTTGGGCATGTGGGAAACGGCTGATCCGAAATTCCCTGCCTCCTTTGGTGCCTGCTCTTTGATTTTCTCAACTTCTTCTGTTGCCAAGTTCTTCTGCTTATGGGAAAAGTTCTCATCTGAGGAACGGGAGCAGCAGCTCCTGGTGTCTGGGAGCATCACGGCCCCAAAGGTGGGGAGTGTGACCTGGTGTGCCCCCAGAGAGGGACCATGCAGGCAGTGACCCCCCCCCCCTGTGTAGG